TTGCACTGCAAAACACAGCCTCACCCTCAGAGTTGCTCAAGGACTGGAGCTGTGAATTGGGATTCACTAGAAGCAGAAGGTAACTTAAAACCCACACAGTCCTCACTCTACAGGTGATTTAGGAAAGTAAACGGGTTGGTCTTGCATGTGTTCTCCTTCTAGGTTAGCACCAAAGCAAATGAACAAACACGTCTTTTGGCATGACAAGCAGATGCAAATAAAACACCAAAGCACCCTAAAGCAATTTTAACTGCACTAATATAATGACATATAAAAGTCCAAGTTAACAGCACAATTTAAAAAATAATAATAATTAAAAAAAAAATCAAAAAAAAATCATAAAAGTCAGTAGATTACAATTCAACACCATCAGCACACAGCCCAATTTAAATGAACATGTTCAAAAACTTTGTATGTTTTGCTGATTTTGTTAACAACTGGATGATTAACAATATCTACACTCTAATGGAATATAATAGAAAACCCCCAACTGATCACTTGGTTGCAGAGGTATCTCTTAAGTACTAATCAGGTTATATAATAATTATCTTTCTATGCCATCCTTCAGAAGGACAGAATGAGATGGTGACAATATATGCAGTAAAGGGCGTTGAGTACACACCCCAAAAATTAAATAAAGAAAACCTTTTGTGGATCTCGGGTAATTTTCCAGAATATACAACTAAGAGAAAGATGCCAATTGTCTAACAGAAAGTCAAACAAGTGCTAACAGTTTCTAACCTGGAATAATTTAATTGTGCTGTTAACTTGGACTTTTATAGGTCATTATATTAGTGCAGTTAAAATTGCTTTAGGGTGCTTTGGCGTTTTATTTGCATCTGCTTGTGATGCCAAAAGACGTGTTTGTTCATTTGCTTTGGTGCTAACCTAGAAGGAGAACACATGCAAGACCAACCCGTTTACTTTCCTAAATCACCTGTAGAGTGAGGACTGTGTGGGTTTTAAGTTACCTTCTGCTTCTAATGAATCCCAATTCACAGCTTACCGAATTTCCCAGAGGAACCCACCCGAGGGATTAATAAAGTTTTATCTTATCTCTCTCTTATCTTAAATGCTGAACCACCAGACTCAGACAACATTTCTGCGCTAAAGTTAGCATCTAAATAAGAAGAAAATACTTATCTGGTAAGCTATCATTACAGATAATCAACCTGGAAATATGCAGTTTCATGCAAACGGTGTCAAGAGCACATGCACACACACACACACACACACACACGCTCCCCTCCCCTCAATGCTGATGTCAACAGTCTGAGCTAGCTTATTGTGGGCACAGTAAGATCCCTGTTGCTGACCACACGTGAAGGGGGAGCATGACACATGCAGAACACTTTGTTGTGCTTCTCTGAGTACTGCAGCATAGAGATGTACTGCCAAGCAGCTTTAAAACACCCTATAAAAACAGGCAACAATTCAACCACAAACACACACACAAAGAAATAAAATAAAAGCATAGATTTTGATCCATAAAAGAACAACAAAAACAACATCAGGCTAGGTCATTTGAAGCAGGACAAGCAGAGTTATTAAAAGCATCAGGTCAATGATCATGACACACCTACCCATAGACACTTGTTACCAGCAATCTAATACAGAGCCCCCTTTTCAAAGCCTAAAAATCACAGCTGCCTTGGAGACCATCGGATTACTGCAAGGATCACATTCCCCATTTCTTTGCTCCTACCAAGACGTGTGAGAGTTGGCACGGAGGAGTGAGAAGCTGCACGCTAAAAAGGGTTTGCATTACTAATGAAGTTTGTACGTGTAGCAGCATTGTCATTAGTTTGTGGGAAAGTGGAAAAAGGGCCCATTAATATAGGCAAGCAGACACTTGACTTGCAAGCAGCAGGCCTGCTGGAATATTTAGCTTTCTTGCTATATAATATGTTGGGTCTTTACAAAAGAATATAAAGTGTGCTTAAAATGACTAAATTAGGAATTTATAAATAACAATTCATCATCAAATCAAATCTTATTTGTGTAATAGCTATGAAGTACCAGGTTTGCAATCCAATAACAGCTCTTGTTTGCTTGTCCCAATATGCAACTCTTTTTCAAAATATGCAACCCTATGAAGGAGCTACAGTACACTAAGTGCTGGAGTGCAAGTTTTACTTATTCATGAAGACATTATATAAGACGAATGCCTGATATGATCCATAAAACATGACTACTAAAATTCAGTGCTTTAAGGAAATAAGGACAAAACATGCTTCCTTTAACACTATAGTCAACAGTGTGAATCAAATAACCATTACAGGAAAGCAACCAGAACCATTGCTGGAGCTTGGAACACAAATATTAGGTGATTATTTCCTGGAAACGTACTACACACTTTAAGTAACGTGAAATTTTCTTGTACAGCTTGGGAGTTTTAAATTTCCGCCTCTACCCCAAGGGAGGCCTACGCCACACACCATGTCTCTCGGCTGTCTTGGGAACACCTCAGTATCCCCCAGGAAAAGTTAAAAGCTGTGCTATACCCACAACCTGAGCACCGATAAGCCAAAGAAAACTGATGGGTGCATTTACACGTACATCAAATGTGTCTTTATTTATTTATTTTTTAGATTATTTAGTCTCCTAAAGAGCAAACTAATCTACATTCTCAAATAAAGTGAGACGGACATATTTATCACAAAGAAATTACCAGAAGGGCAGAGAAAGCTGGACAGCTACCTGCTTCTGAGTCACCAATCTGGATAAAGGTGGCACTTTAGCCAGACTGCTAATCCCATTCCACAAACCCTGCGTACTGTTACCTGCTGCATGCCTCCGAGATTAATACAACTCATGAATTAGTTTAATCTACCAGACCTCTGTGCGCACATACTTTGGAGAACAACTATCATTTTTAGGAGGGGAACTTATTTACCAGAATGTAATAACAGATCTCCAATATGTCGCTGTTAAATCTATGTTAAGTATGTAGAAGTTCGGTGATTTTACAATGATTTTACAATAAGCTAGCTCTTGCGAGTATGGTTTTCTCTGTACAATATACAAAGACACATTGAAGTTTTATAACTGTAGTAACTTATAAATCATTGGACAAACAATGGTAGCATTTCCTTGATTTAGCTGCTTTTTTGTTTCATATGACAACATACATGTCATCTCGAGTTTTTATGAGCCGGTCAGACTGACTGGTCGATTTCAGGATAGCAGTTGATGCCCTTATGGATTAGGCATTGGAAAATAAACCGTCATGAAACATAGTTTAAATCAAGGGGAGATAGACTGAATTTTTTTAGCATTAAAAAGTTTAGAGATAATGAGTTTAGTTGGTCGCCTCCAGCTTGCCTTGGTGGTCACTGATGTTACCTGACAAGTAGCCCGACTTCACTGGTTTTTAGGTTAGCTAGCTATGCCGCTAGTCAACAGCTGGCTACCAAACCTTCTGACATAATTTAAGTCATTTAATATATAAAGCTTATCAGTAAGTTGGGTACAAACAAAACAATTTCAGAGCTGTTCTTAGGATAAGAAAGTCCAGAAAACGCCACAGATTGTAACACGTTGTTAATGTTAGCTGTGTAGCAGGGGCATTGATGACTGACGGATATTATGCGGCAGAAGACACCAAGCAAAGCTACGTGGGGACGAGCATCACAAAGCCTGCTCCACCTATTGTTAGGACTGTGTTTTGCCTGACATGTTGATTATAGTGAGGATGTAGAATTAGATGTCGATGAAAGCTTACCAGCACAGGAGAGCTACAATGAGGCACACCAACAAAACGCGCAGTCTCTTCATTATCTTCCCGCGGGGACCAACATCCTCGCTCCTTGGGGTTTTTCTCCTAATGGATCACGGCTACACAACACACCGAAGAGAATCTTTAAGTACCTGTGTTAATTTAAACATGAAAAACAGCAAATCCCACACTTGAGGGGGTGCTATTTTTCATTATGCGGACCAGCTGTCCGCCTCCTTTTAGGCTCCTGTGGCCACTGCTGTTGACGAGTAGCTGGATCTCGCTATGTTCAACCCCCGCTGAAAAATCTAACCAATCAAATAAGCGTTGAGAATTCGTAGCCCAATGAAAAGGCGTTTAGCGACACTAGTTTAATTTGAAAGCCCCACCCCTTTCGATTGAGGATGAGTTGGTAGCTGTGGAGCAGGACGCGTCACCTATTTCTTGATAAGCAAATCACTTAAGCATGCAATAGTTAAAGTTATTGCTCAACTGTGAAATGTGTCGACGTGAATATATAGTCCTAGCACTTTTTTAAAAAAATGTAAATTAACTTACATTCATTCAAATATGAGGTGTATGAATGAGGGTGAGTGAAAGAATTTGTACACTGTATACTTCCTTCTTCACCACTGGAAAACACCTTCAAGTAGTTAAACCCATAAATATTTTTAAATCCTGGAAAATGGTTATCGGTGTTTAATGAGAAATGGGCTAATTATTTTTTTCTGCCGACATAATTTTTTATATTTATTATATATCATATAATGGGACATTATCTTAACTGTAATCTTATCCGTTTCTATTGTATTTTTAGACTATAAAGAAACAAGAGAACAAAAATATCTGGTTCTTAAAAACACATTTTACACTTTTGCATGCTATTAGTCACGTTCCTACTTTAGATTTTGTTTAAACTCTGCTTTTAACAAGTTAACACTTCGTCACTTACACGTTTGTGGAAAACAAAAGATCAAAACAAATACAAGTCTTGGTTTATTTCATTTACCACATAAAACATTCAAAGTAGGGTGGTTTTCTACGTACGCTCATACCGCATGGAACAATAGGACTACAAATCCCAAAGTGCAATTCCATTGAGGCCCTGAATAATTTGCCTGACTTTTTAAAAATTGTGTGTGGTTTATTTCACATACTTAATAAATACAAAAAAGTACATACACCAGATGCTTGGATCAACAGTGAAATAAAAAGGTTTTTTTTAGCAAATTATAAAACACATTTTTTAATTTTTATTTCGGCGGGGTCCTAAGCTGTCGCCAATCTTCAGAACATTTCAACTAGAAGTCAACTTCGGGCGAAGGTAGCTAACAGCCGCTGACTGACCAACACTGTGGCCGGCCTCTATAATCACATTTCTGGGTCTTTGGGACTTTTAGGGTCATGGCTTTGACCATGAAGATGGTCCGGCTATTTTTGTGTGTCCTGTCCGTGTTTGTCTCACTGGTCTCGGAGAGGTTAGTGGTGCTGGCTGCCTTCTCTCAGTCTCTTGACAGCGACTTCACGTTCACTCTGCCCGCCGGTCGAAAGGAGTGCTTCTACCAGACCATGAAGAATGATGCCTCACTGGAGATTGAATATCAGGTCATAAAGCCTCATAAAATAGGGATGTTGTTTTGGGGTTTGTATGGGGTTAGCTGGTCAACCCAAAACTTCACACTGCTATCTGCCAAATCAAATCAGCGTTGACATATTACACTTGTGAAACCTGTTGATTAGATCTTTAGTTGTGGTACTTATTCCAATAATGGAATATAATTAAGGCAATTTAGCCAGGTACACGTTTAAGGTATTTATGCTTTCTATATCTAACTAATGTTCTACTTTTATTTCGAAGTGTTTTACTGGTAGCTATTTGCTTTACAGCTTTTATTTGACTAATGATTATTTTATCAGTTAAGCTACCGAGCAGTCCATACAAGTAAAGGCGTAGAGATATAAAAATAATCATTTTACTGGGTGCCAGAAATTCTAAAGGTATTTCTCAGTATTATATTCGCAATGTTCAGAAAATAGTTGAATTTTAAAAAGAGCTCAAATGGAGTCCACTTAAACCAGATACAGCAGTAAAACTTAACTGTTACATTAAAATTTGGGTGATGCTTTTAAAACATTAAGTATAATGTAATGATTTCGATAGTAGCTATTTTTACTTGTAACGGAGTACATTTAAAAGTGTTGCATTTGTACTTTTACTTCAGTACAGGATGCGAATACTTTCTTCAGTTACATCATTCAAACCACATGCAGCCTACACTCGTTTACTACTGTTTTAAATCCAGAGCAAAAGAAGCAACAAGTAAATTGGTTCACACCTTGATTTTCATATTGTTGGGAACCTGTTTTGCAGGTCAGTGTGCAGGTTACGCAGAGAATCTGAATCTATTCTTCCTGTGTGACGTCACAGAGTTTTAATTTGTTATTTAGCTGCATAAATGTCAGACTCCTTACAAAAAAAAACAATATTCCTGACATTTCATGTGTTAAAACAAGCATTAGTAAGCCACAACAGATGTGAATTTCTCAGGGGTTGAGGGCTGATTTGAATGCTTCCATCCGCAGGTGTTAGATGGTGCAGGCCTTGATGTAGACTTCACTGTCTTCTCTCCATCGGGCCAAATGCTATTCAGTGACTACCACAAGTCTGATGGTGTCCACACGTAAGTAGCTCCGATCTTCTATTTAAAAACTGACATTAATAACTCAGGTGTTTGGGGGAAGATCTTACTGCTCGTGCGTTCTTCCAGCATAGACACTGAGGAGGGAGACTACATGTTCTGCTTTGACAACACGTTCAGCTCAGTCTCTGAGAAGCTCATCTTCTTCGAGTTGATCCTGGACAACATGGATACAGATGAAGACCCAGATGACTGGAAGGAGTACGTCCACGGAACAGACATCCTGGACATGAAGCTGGAAGACATTATGGTGAGAGTTGGTCTTGTTTGAATAAATTCAACACATTCCAAACCTGTCGTTTTAATAGATTTGAATGTGTGAGCTTTAAACCTTAATAGCACTGATAGATGGTAGGTGGTTAAATTAGATTCAGAGTGTGTTTGTTTTATTCCCAATTGCATTTTTAGACTTTGTCCCTCTGTTGCCTGAGATATTTCAGAGGATCATCCAGGATGACACGGGGGGTGCAAAGTGACCGAACACACTGCCAACAAAATAGCACATAATCCATCACCAACATGTAAAGTTACACGAAGTGTGTCACAAGAAAGGACAATGTCATGAACTCTCACCTACTGGCTGAGGGCGGCCAATTGTTTCAGCTTGCACCACTCATTTGCTAAAAATAGCCTAAATTTGTGGCATAAGTCACATAGTCTTGTCATCTTGGTAAGAGGTAGGAAATTTGTCCCCCAGCTGTTGAGGAAGTAGTTTTTTCAAGGAGGAAGGAACACCATTTCAGACTCTCACTCTGATTACCTGCTTTGTTTTTGTTTAACTTTGGTCAAGTAAAATTTACATAAAGAGTACAGTGGATCTATTAGCTTTCTTCTCAGATTCCCTCAGTATGACCTGCTTTTCTCCTCTCCTTCAGGACACCATCAACAATGTGAAGGCTCGGCTGGGAAAAAGCTCTCAGATCCAGACGCTTCTGCGAGCATTCGAGGCTCGTGACCGAAACATCCAGGAGAGTAACTTTGAAAGGGTGAACTTTTGGTCAGTGGTCAATCTCATTGCTATGGTTCTGGTCTCGGGGGTTCAGGTCTACCTAGTCCGCTCGCTGTTTGAAGATAAACGGAAAATTCGAACATAACACAACCTGAAATGGAGTGAAACAGAGAGACTGACACAGTTGCCCACAAAAACCTTATGGATTTTTTCAGCTGATTTCCCCTTTTGTGACTTTTAATCAAGGATATTATATATATATATATGCACACTTACACACACACAATGATAAAGAGCCAATTTACCACAGTTGTTGCTCTGGTCTTTTAAGTCGTTGCAGCTTGAAGGAAACCCCAGGTTTGGAAAAACTTATGACTCTCAACTTTACATACAACCTAGCTCTGTCTTTCTTGAAAAAACATGCATCTTGTTTGATAGGTCCCCCCAACTGCTGTAGTTCATCAGTGATAGAAGCACATTTACAATGCAACTATTTTTCTAATGGAGCCAGGCCAAATGCAAAAATGTCTTCTTTTTTTCTTCCTTTTTTAAAAAAAAAATAAATTTCAACATAGGTTAAGCTAAACTAGATGAAGGAATGGTCTGGGGCCTGTTATTTCTGTCAGATAGGAGTGAGAGGTGCTGCCAGTCTGTTAGTGTGTCTTCCCCTTACAATAAGATGCCTTATTCATTTGGATTTCGCTCCCAGCCTTTTGCCTATTGGTGAGGCCTTTGAATACTTTTCTTATTGCCACAAATATTTATGTTGTTACAATTCAGCCACATATTCCCCTTCATGCCAATACTGAAAATACAGGGCTGCACTGCAATGCTGCTCTTTGGCACCCAAAAGACCGCAAGAGAAGGAAACGGGCCATCTCCAAATCTCTTTATAACTACTGCCCCACTCTCCTCTGCCATGATTTGTGGACTTGTGGCCTGAATGGCTGCCAGCCAGCGCCGCTGCTGTGAAGCCTGTCTGCTGCTGCTGGGTGTCTACTTACAGCCACCTACTGTGTGAAGATGTTGAGCCTGCCCGTCTCTCCTGTGACAGAAGTCTATTTCTATCTGAGTGACATCTGGAAGGTCATTGCCACTACTTCAATGCACTGGTTGGTTTAATATGCATAAACTATCCTTTGCCTTGTGGTTTTTTTTGGGTTTTTTTTGTTTTGTTTGTTTGTTTTTTTTCTCTTTTCAACATACTTTTCCAGGTCCTTGCACTGCCTCAGATCCCACAGAACCCCATTTTGGCAAACAAAAATGGGTCCACAGTCTACATGGTTGGAATAACACCAGTTTGTTACCTGTTACTTGTATTGTATTAAACTGCTACTGCGGTTGTAGTTTTTATTGATGTTTATTCATCTCCACTGTGGAACCCTGGCTGCTCACTACCTTGGCTCGATGCTTCATGTTGCAGTCTTCTGATTTTTGCCTTGTGCTGTAAGGTGAAGATCATACAGTGAGTTTATGCCTTTGTGATTTACACTATCTTTTGTTAGAAGTGAATAAAACCAAACTGAGTAGACTAATTGGTTTACAGTTATAACATTTTGCCACACGGTATGTGCATATGTCAATCACAAATTCTTTGGATGCCTGTAATAATATTGGATGTCTGGTTGTGAGAAATGGTCATCATCTGCCTCAGTTTCAGTGCTTTTCCTTATTCTCATGTATGGTTGCTGTCACTGGTATTTACGTACTGTATGTCTGGATTCTAATAAGTGATGTATTGGTAATAAAAAATATTTTTTGATCAATTTTTAACATGCTTTCAGAATTCTACAAAAACAAAAGAACAACGTTTTTTTTTAAGTATTTCTATGTTACTGAGTAATAAAAGTTTGTGTCTACAGCTTCATTGTCTTTGAGAAATGTTTTCTGTCATAAAACAGCAGTGGGAGAAGAGGGAAAGTGGCATCATATTTATTTAGCTAATATCCTGCAGTTGAAAATTTCTGCAGATTAAACAGCTTCACCTTTTTTCTGACCTCTGCATTCTGTTGTTATATTCCCCCCCAAAGAGTGTGATACTGTGATTCAAATGTAGATTAAAAACAGAAATTATCTTTGTCATCAATGCAAAGCCATTATATTCGATGCTCAAAGTGAGAAATTTTATTTTTTTTGGTTAGCATATGCTAATGACAGTAACATCTTTCAAAAAAGGTGAGACAAGGGCAACATCTGGTGAAATGTTCCCACAGGTAATTAGGTTTATTAGTAATAGGGATGGGTATTTAAAAAAAAGAGCATCCCGTAGAGAAGTGTCAAGTGTTTCAATAGGCTTAGGAATACTTTGAAAAACTACTGCATGCAACCGTACAAGGTGTGCTGCCTCTCTTGGCCCAGGACATTTAAGAAAAAGAGATTTAAAAACGTAAGACTTCCTGGCTAAATGATAACTGAGCTGTTGTCAAATCATTCAAAATTTTATTTGATCTTTTTCTTGGTTGGTGTATTCTTCAGGCTAAAGAAGACCATCTGGCTTAATCTCACTGTACTGTTAAAAATACTAGCATCTGTGACAGTATATAGGGGCGGTCATGCATACAGCAAGGACAACTTGTGCATCTGCTAAACAGATTTTGGCACACAACAAATGCTGCCATCTAGATGATGTCTGTTTCAGAGAAGGCTTCCCTAGGTCAGTAAGACAATGCAAACCATGTTCTGGCTGTATTATAGTAGCTACATGGCAACCAGCAGTCCAGACCAGTCACCAAAAAAAGAAAAATACAAATTTACAACAGTTTCGATAATTATGGAAGTTAAAATGCAACAAATCAACTTAATATTTATTTATATATACATTTTAAAAAAACCAATTTAAGATTCTCACTTGGAGCATTTGATATGTTGTAAATATCATCTTTTTCCAAAGCATCCAAACCTTTTTTTGAAACAGCGTTATGAATAGACCTTCTTTTACAATCATTTCGACATGTTTGTGCATACAGTAACAAGCCTGGTTTTACTGCATATGAGCGGGGTGTATAAACCAGTTATACAGATGCTTGTAGAATACCTAGGGTATCTGTAAGGATAATTTACCCTGCCGTGAAGCTGCTTGGCTTCTAACATGTCCTTCGTGGTGCGGTGGTGCAGAGATGTGATGATCAGACATTCTTGTAGTGTAGTAACACAGGCCCTTCCAAAGTACAGTGAATGTAACACGGTGGGAAGAAGCAGAATGAAAACGTTACTGCGACTTACTTGCTTTAGTCAATCCACAAAATATCACGTTTCATGATACTTACGGGCCTATCACACCCTGTATGCATGACCCCGTACTCCTGGAAACACCGTTATGAAATGATTTCCTCTGTAAAGTCAAATATAGAACAGATGTGGCAAAGATTAAATCATAAAGTAATAATACAACAACATGAATTTAGTGGAAAGTGGAAGAGTAGAGAATGTAGAAACCTTGTTGGGAATTAAATGTTCTTTTCCAGGGTTTCTTTGTGTTGGCAGAATTTACCGTGGTGGTCGGCGTTTGTGGCTCCTTTGACCCCGAGCTGGAGCTGACATGACTGCTGGCTGCCTGAGCTGTTGTCAGGGAGACATGGGGCTGTGGTCTACACTTTGAGAAGCTGTTATTATCACGATACAGATGAGCGTATTGATTAATATCACAATCAACAAGACAAACAATTTTAAAATTGACAGAAACTATTGCCACTCTAAGAATATTTTCCTAGAACTTTAAAATGCCTGATTACCTTTTTGAAGCCACTTCGGTCTGTGGGTTTGGTCTTATAACTTCAGCACAGAATGGGCTACGTATGTTCAGCACAGGCAACTTGCAAAAGAAAAAAAGGTACTGTCATAAAGTGGACAGACAGCGCCAATGTGCTTTTCAAACAAAGCACGGTTATTCACAGATACCAAAGTTGACTTTTGAATCCTGACATATTAAAAAAAAATCTAAATCAAGGGGCATACCCTTTCAGACTGGTGAACGCAGATGAAATTCATACACAGATCTACAATTTCATTTTCAGCACAGGCGCGTGGCATGCTAACCACAGATTATTATATCAGATCGTAAGGTTCCCTGCAAAGATGCACTCACATTCATGAAGAGAGCAAGAGAAAACTATATCCAAACCCAGATTTCATATACGAACATTTATCATACTGTATACAATAGGCAATTCTAATGATGTTAGTACCAGTACACATGGGAGTAGAGGGAAACATTTAGCATGCAGACTTTCATGATGCCAATCTGGTATAAACAATTTTGTTAAAGAACTGAGTCAGGATATGTGGGGAAAGGTGGAAGAGGAGTTCTTACTTCCCTGAAATAAGTAGAAAGAGAAATCCCAGGTTGTGGGATGAGCTAAATCTCCACATTCCTAGCTCACTCCCAAATATGTTCAGTGGGCTGGCTGTGAATGTAAAAATATCCAAGTAATAACTAGAAACAACCACTGAAGCAAATACTCACTTCAGAGGTTGATTAAATACCTGAGAGCAGAGGTAAATAAACTGTTTTTATTCTTTACACCTTGCTTGATTATAATTTTTTTTTTCCTCATTTAGGTGGATCCATCATAATATTATTATTATTATTATTATTATTATTATTATTATTATTATATCGTACAATATATATAATAAGAGGTCTTGGACTGTATTAATGACATGTAAAAATGTCAAGAAGAGTCTGACCAGCAGACAGTAGAGGGCAGCAGCACGCCAGTGTAGCTACTTCAGAGAGCGCCAGAAGAAGAAGAAGAACAGAGTTCTCCAAGAGGTCGCTGCAGCTAAAGCGCTTTACTTCCGGGATACTGTCAGGATGAGATTGTAGCATCGGCGCTGAGTAAAACCATATTCCAGGTAGGTGGAAAACACCTAAGAAATATTTTTGTAGGTATTTCAGTTAACTCAGCACATTATTGTTTTTACACTCGTGCGTACCGGAGATGCGCGGGCTTATTGTCCCTTTTTTAAACCGGAAGAACCAGTAGTTTTATAATAGACAGACTCAGAGATTATATCCATTCACTTGACAGCAAAGAAAACGCTTCAAATGTTGTTCAGATCCAACATTTGTTTGGCTAACAGAGCTGTGGGTGAACAACCTAAAAACAACATAATATTATATCAGCTTTAGAGCTTTTGAAGCCTTTTTATGAACCCAGAAAAGGACCCTGGTTGGTCTGCTACTTTAAGCCTTGTCTGTAAGGCTTAATATGTTTAGTAAAATCCCTAGCCACTTTGAGTCAAGTCATGTCACAAAACAGTAGTAACTTTAACCAAAGGGCTTTCCAGTCGTGCAATATTCAGAAACATAATGTGTTTATAATGGGACATTACTGGGTAAGCAGTGCAAAAGACTACGAGGAAACCACAAATAATGAAAACCACATAACAAAGATTGCAGGTATGACAGATCATTTAAGTAGTGGATAAAACACCCCTGCTGGTCTCAAACTCTCCACCGTCTGTGTTTTGTGTGTTGAAATCAGGGTGATGGGGCCAGATGGTGCCCCAGGTCCAGCTGTGCCATGGCGTAAGGTGCTGTGGGAACGCCAGCCTTTTCCAGATAACTACGTAGACCAGCGGTTCTTGGAGGAGTTACGCAGGAACGAGGGCATCCGGCAGTACCGTTACTGGGCTGTAGTGAAGGAAGCCGGATTTGTAGGACAGCAGCTGTCTTGTGTGGCCATTTTTATCACCCTCTGGCTCTACATGGAGCAGGTACTGCTTTGGGTCCCCCCCCATCTTTGAAGCACAAAGTGTCCTTACCAAATGGAGCGGGTTATTAAAGAGCTCTACTTTCTTCACAGGGTCTGCTTCTGCCTGAGACGTTGCTGTGGTCCAGCCTCATCTGTGCCCTACTGGGTTATGGACTTCATCAAGCCTTGACATCTCGCGTTGAATCATGTGGTGAACCCCGCACTCATCTGGCCGATTTACAGAGTGCAGCCATTTTCCTTTCCTTCACCTTTGGCTTCTCGCCAGTTCTTAAGACACTAACAGAGTCTGTGAGTACAGACACTGTGTACGCCATGTCTGCTTTGATGCTGCTGGCCCATTTGGTGTCGTTTCCTTACGCCCAGCCATCGCCTCCTGGAAGCCTCTCTTTAAATGCAGCTCTGTTTGCCTCGGTGTGCCTAGCCTCTAGGTTACCCGGAGCTCTGCACACTTTCGCCATGCTAAGCTGCGCCCTGCTGGTGTTTGCTCTGTGGCCCTGCCTGCTGCAGACGCTGAGGGAGAACGCCCCTGGCCATTTTACTGTGGTGTGCATGGGAGTTTGCATTGGAGGGATAGTAGGTCTGGGGTCTCAGACGCTGGGTGGAGCTGTGCTCTTAACCCTGGCTTTAGCAAGTGTAACACTGCTCTGTCCTTTCCTGCTTGTCAGGCTGCAGAGGCACAAAGACAACATTCATGGACCCTGGGATGAGGCTGAGATTCGTGAGGACCTGAGCCGCTTCCTTCACTAATAAGCAGCCTAGCACAAGCAGCTCCTAAACAAACTGATATTAAAAGTGTAACTGAATTTTATATGAACCAATTCACTGTCATAGTGCTGGTTTCTTGGTGCTGTGCATGTAAAAGGACTAATTTTAACTGTTTTTTTTTTTGTTTGTTTGTTTTTTTATCACTGGTTCATGTATGATTGGAAAGCAATGACAAACTATTATTCTCTTCCAGGTAGTATGAGGATGGTTTTTAATGTTCAAGCTGCTACTGTTTTGTAATTTACCTCAGTTTGTGCAAAAGGTCTCAACTAATAATATGACTTGTTACAGGATGTTAATGGTTTGCAAATCTCTGTAAGAAAAAATGAAATCACATATAAAGGGCTGTAATTCCATTTTCCACAAATTATTTGTAAATATTAGAAGACTTTTAGGATTTCATTGTGTATTTTGGTAATGAGAGTATTTCTTCAGTGTTATTCAATACAATACTACAAAAAGCTGTTTTACCTGCTACACACTACAAGCTTAATATAAGACATAGCCGCAGTTTTTAGAGTTACCATGTCCCTTGTTCACAAGTCATCAGCACAGCAGGTTGTTCCTAGTGTTTGATTTGGCAGATTTTTACACCAGGTGTCATTCTCGATTTAAAAACCCTGGAAGGGATTTGTCTCCTTCCAGGGTTAAACTGGGTTGCGTTCACTTCAGCTACTACACAGCGGAGCTACACACCCCATATAATGATAACTTCATGAATCTTGTAAAATATGGTACTTTTTGGGGGAGTCATGTTTCAGTTGTTATCAAACTTTCTGTCCTTTACTATTAAGGTGTTTGTAATAAAAAAAACAACAACAACACACATACACACAAAGGGACAATATGTTGTAACATTGTCGCTGTGTTGTGAATTTAAATATGGCCCGAAATATGAAATGTGTCATGAGCACTGAGGTAAGAAAATGTAGACGTTTTCTACAGTCAATGAAAAAGATGAGGGTCTTTCATGTCGCCTTCCGTTCAAATCCCAATCAGTGACGTCACATCCGATGAGCAACACCTGTTGACAAGGTGTTTTCGGTCGACAGAGAGCATGGCGGAAGTTGCCTACCCAATTTAGTCAAACTTCCATTAAAAAAACCAAAAACAACTTTATGCTGATGACCTCCCAGTTTGCTCAGCACACAGTGTGAAACAGACCGGGGTTCCTCTGTTTATTTTTAATTTTTGGCTCAGATTAAAGAACAACTACATGGCGACACATTGTCTCCTCTTGCTTTTTGCTTTAATTGCAACATGTAAAAAACAAAAATTTGCTGTAGAAACTACACCAGAACTACTGCTATATGTTGTTTAGGAGCCTCTGTGTTAGCAGCTAATGACCAAATAAGTGAGCTATGACGGCATCAGCGGGCACTAGTGCAGCCGACCTGGCAACAATGCGCGGTGGTCGCTAGGTGTCATACCTTCACTTCTTCTTTCTTCGTCCTGGTGCGACGTTTGACGGCGGGCTTTGCAGCTGGTTTTGACTGCAGTGTTGGCCCCATGGTCTGAACAGTGCAGCAGGTAAGATGTTCAGCCGAGCTGCTTGTAGCTGTGCGGCCTCCTTCGAAGAACTACAGTAGAGAGTGTGCCGTGGTAACAACGCGTCACAGGTTAAAATGTTTATGTTTAGTTTTTTTTCCTTCGTCTTCCAGTCGGAGTTTATTTACACACCAGTGAGAACGCATACACTTTACAAACACGCACACACACACACCTACATATAAATTGGTATTATGAACATTATCTTCAAATTGGATTTGAAGACCATAGCTTTAACTTTACAACTAAAATTATTTAACGACTTTACTGGAGACCACTGCAACCCCATAAGGTAATTTCTAAGGTTTTGAGTTAGCTGGTTTTAACACCTTGTAGGCCACTGAACCCCCCCCCCAAATAAATAAATAAATAAATAAAATCAGCATAGGGTTCTGCTTACACTAATGCTGATCAAGTCAGCGATAGCTAGCTTCCAAATAATGACATTTGCACATGCATTCAAAAATAAAATACCTGTTTATTCACGGAAAATAGAAACAGTGCATGTATATTCTTTTCAGTATAATAATTCAGATTGATATTTTTATCTACAAAAGGTTCAGGCACTTGAGAGAAGCCAGCAGACAGTTGTGCACATTCCATCGTTTGTGGCCGTTGATATTATGTACAAAACAGGCTCAGGATGGAGTGAGTTTTGCAGACAGCAGCTCCCAGAGGAGACGGAGAAAAGCCCATCATCGTGCTTCAGCTGTATTATACATCATGCAGGTCAGGAGTGTCTCCGGGTAGCAGCCAGCTGCAGCTGAAAGGACCATGGGGGCAGATGGGTAATGGAGTTCAGAGCAGAGGGGGCTTATTTCACACTTGGGATTGCTGGGGGAAGCCTCCTGGAGACAATATTAGATCAAAGACATTACTATATGGTTTATATTAGCAAAGTTTCTATAAAAGTTTCTCTACATTAGATCTTATAACATCTTTCAAAATTTGAAAGACTTATGCATGATTTTGGGGACATGGTATCTCTGATGGGACGGTGCTGTCTCTCACTGTAGCTTTCTTAATCATCTGCATTTAAATTTCTAGTTAATCTGCAGAGAGGTACAGTCTGGGGCTAAGCAGTCAGGACTTTATAAGCTTTATACATTCAGCCTTCCTAAATAAATAAAGGAATAAGATAATTCTGAACCCTGGATAAAGATGTTCATGAATTAGGAGATGCCTTATTATTAGCAAGGAGTTGATCCAAGTGTAGCAGTGCCAGCTGGGGCTTTCAGTTGTTCCTAATTCCAAGTTATAATTTACATATTTCTATATTTCTTTACTGTGTTTTTATTTGCCCGTAGCTCCACGCATGATAGGCTAAATAGACTTTATAATGATGAGAAAATGCACATAAAGGCAAGACTCATAAAGCTGCATAGAGCATACAAGTAGAGTACAAGACTGATTACAGTAAGATCGTGTCCCAGTGACTCTATATCTATAGGGGAGCCAGACAAGCATTAGGCTGGATGGAAAGACTCAGGCAAGGAAAGAGAGTGTATGAGGGAAAGAACCTAAAGAACCATTGGAGAGCACAGAGGAAATGAGGCAGAGAGAAAAAGGAGAGACGGGCCAAAAGCAGGGGAGGAACCAGTGAAAGAGGAGAAGTAAAGAAAAAGTAGAAGAAAAAGAGGTACGGGCAAAAGGAAAAATAATGGTTATTGCATGAGGGAAACTGAGGAAGGCAATAAAACAAATGCATGCTAGAAGAAAAAGGGGGAATGAAGGACAGAGAGAAAGATGAAAAGTTGACAGGGCGCTCAGCCTGTTGTATCTGGCTCCAGTAGAAAGCATGCGGAGGTCTTGTCTACTGAGGCTGATGGGAAGGAGAATATGAGAAACACATTTTCCAGCAGACCCCCACCCAGCTCAAATAACAACTTTTTCTAACCCTGTGCCTTTGTACAGGAACATTTGATTTTGCATGTGTGCGCATGTGTATGCATAAATGCCAGGCTTGGCGAAGCCTAGAGGTCATCATTTATACAACAGGTCAGGTTTCATGGGCTAATCTCTCTGGTTTCACAGTCACCTTGGCACCAAGGCTGGGGTACGATTTTGTTGACTAGTGTGCTGCCGAGAGCCATTAGGGGAGCTTTTGGGTCCAGCGCTGGGCACCCGAGGAACAGGTGGAGCATGGCTACGGATCCCAGGCTTACCACTGGCTGCAGTTTTAGGGAGGCTTGGCAAGAGAAGCAGAAGACGAGAGAAGCTTAAGTGATAGGTTGTACAGATTTGTTTCAATGAATCCATCTATGTATATGTGTACATTTGCACCTGGATGGTTTTATCCAGGAAGAATCCACAGGTGGAGGCAAAGGGGTAGTGCAGGTAGAGGTGGAGATTTCTCCAATGGCAGCGAGCGCCTCCTTCAGGGCAGCATGCTTTTGGAGCACTTCAACTCGGTGCTGTTGTTGCTCTGGTGACTCATCCATCAGAGCTGAGCATTCTCCCAGAGCGTAGAGTTGGGCCAGGAGCTCAGAGCTAATGAACTCCTTAACCTACAGAGAGAGATTATAAACTACTGTGAGAAGTTAAAATGTAACTTTGTGAAGTGATATTTTATTCTAATTCAGAAAAACGAATCTATATCTATAAGCGGTGGCAAAAAATGTTTTTTTCCCCCTTGAAAATTTCTTTTTTCTGTTGGTCAGGATATGGATCAAGTGGCATTTCAAATGTCAAAAAAACAAAAAATGTAGAAAAAAAAGTGAAAAGGATTTGCTGCACCAAAAAAATAAAAATAACAGTTAAAAGTGTGGTCTGGAGAGCTTACACTGTTAATCATGAGGTGCATCATGGTCTTTGGCATTAAGTCCCTGACCGTCTTATAGATGATGCCCATGTAGGAATCAACCAGGTTACTAATGGTCTCCACTTGACGTTCCAGCTGGGGGTCGGAGAGGTTTTCAGGAGGTCCATTCCCCTGCTCATCCACCTTAGTAAAAAACACACAAGTTGGGACATATACATACATCTTAACACTATACAGACAACCCATTTAAGCAATAATCTACAGTGTAGTGTGCCATGCTACAGGGACTGCTGATATACCACAGCTAGTAATTTAATACAAATACAGATGTGTAAAGAGACAAAGCTTTCTTTTATATTTAGTGGCCACATCTATTCCATGTTAGTAACAAGAAGAAACACATTTGATAGGATAAGAACAAGGAGAGTTGAACACAAGGAACAAAAAAGAAGGAGTCAAGGAGGAATGGGCAGAAGAAAAAAAAAAAAGGGGGGAGTGTGTGAGGGACGAGGAACTGCTGATTAGAAACAGACCAGAACACACACACACATACACATATTGTAGTGACATCATGGACCAAGAATGCTGTACTAAAGAGCCAACGACAGAGCGGGATGGAAGGGGTGGGGGACTTGCTTTTTCTCTTTGGCAGGGGGAGAGAAAGGGGAACATGGAGAGAGAGGGGTAAGGGGTTACAGACAGGGTTTAAGGTTAGCAAAGCCAATGAGTGCATATAACTCAAAGGTAAGGTGCAGACAGGTGCAGTTCCCCAAAGCTAAGGTCAGGACTGGGTTTAATTACGTTGAATTAGGGGTCAAAGTACTAACAGCAACTTTCTCAGGGTAGACTCCGGCCCGTAGCAGAGAAGCCTTCCAGCTGTCCAGCTCCTCCTGAGAGTTACAGGCCAACTCCAGGCATTTGTAGTCCTTATACACATTCCTGCAATTCATTACAATCCTGTCAGAAATGTCCAAAAAATATACAGCAATAACACTTTTAACTCAAGGGAGCTTTCTGCAATACGGAGTAATATACACAAAACCTTATATACGTTGTACGGGAGATTGGCCCAGTGCTTACCTTACGGTTAAGAAAATATACAGTTCGTACCAAACACATTTTCCGATGTGTTTCATGGGAACTCTGATGAACGTATACAAGACCTATTATCCATAACAGGAACTTTAACCTTTTCTTATGAACTCTGTGTAGGTGATTAAGCCAAACATTTAGTTATAGTTGCGAACTTATCAGCTAGGGTGTAGAGTGTTTAAAAGAGAACATCAAGGCCACTTGGACGATTTCACTGTTTGTGTTCGAAATTCTTTATATACAAATATTATTTACTAAGCCTCTGACCCAATCTGTACACAAGTGAAATGTTACTGGCACAAGGATGCCTTCATGCGCT